ACCGGTGTCAATCTCTCACATTGACCCAAGCCAACATTCTTCCACCCTACCATACCTGCACAGAGGGCGCCAATCCTCCGTACAAGTATAGATAATCTACGGTCACCGGCCGCGGGATTCGAAACCCGGGCAGTTAGACACATCGATTTAAGTACTGACGCCTTAAACCGTGCGGCTATCGACCAATTGTGAATAGAAATAACTAAATTCGACTCTTTGACTGAAGCAAAAGGAAAATTTATTCTTTGCATAACTACTTAGATATGAACAAACATTTCTACTATCAGAAGTGTGGTAAAAAGGTCAATACCAAATTTGCTGCAAAGGCTACCAACAGAAAGCTATAATATAAAATTTAAATGTACCTACAAAAAATATATATATATTTTGTTTTTTTGTGGGTACTTACGCTCTTGATGTGCTCAGCTAAATCAGGTGGCATTCCTTCGACAGCTGAGGTATAAAATTGTGGTTCCCATCCATAAATCTGTAACAAAAATCACATAATAAATATGCAATGTGGGATCCACTATACAGTAAATGGAATTAATGATTCTTATTATCTAATATTCTAAAAAGGACAATTGGTTCAACTACTCCAAAAATTATTAACGATTGAATATATCGTGTAAAAAAGTTATTAGAACATGACGGGTAAAATGAAGTGAAGCATCAAAATATTGTCGATTAAATAAAAAAACTGTTAAATAGAAAATATACAGGGTGTTGCATGACGTACTAGACAAACTTAAGGAACAAGCATCCGAGGTCATTCTGAATAAAAAATGTTATAATATATATATGGGTTCAATTCTCCGTGGTTACCGAGTAAAGCTTAGAAATACTATTTTAATATTCAATCTCGCTAGCTATGAACATGTTAGTTGATAAAACAAGTGATAGTTGACATGTTGACAAAGTTTACATTTATGGATTTTGTGATGGAAATTCGCGAGATGCCCGTAGAGAGTATCGGCATTTGGTTCTGTGTTTCGACATCTGCGAACATAAATGGTTCAACAATGCCTACTAACTATGAACGTCCTCAGCAGCAACATTTGAATGAGCCTGAAAACATTTTGCAGATAATTGAAGACAGTCCAGAATTAAGTATCAAGAGAATTTCAGCACGTACGAATGTTCTTCTTTGGAGAGTATAGCAATATATTGTATCCTTATCACGTATAACAACTTCAACATATGGAACCGCATGACTTACTTTCACGGGTACATTTTTGTCAATGGATTCAAGCACCGCCCCAATTAGTAAGACGTATTTTATTTACCGATGAGTCGCTGTTTACTGGAGAAGTGAACAATATGCACAACTCTCACAAACGGTCTTATGAGAATCCTCATTTCAAAAATGAATTTACTTTTCAACGATGATTTTCTATAAACGTCTGGTGTAGCATAATTGATGATCAACTAATTGGGTCCTCCTTTTTGAAGAGCGCCTTATAGGAGAAGTCTACACCAACTTTGTACGTAATGAATTGCCAGGTCTATTGGAACATATTATTAATATACTTACAAGACAAGAAATGATCAACATGATGGAGCCCCTACTTACTTGAGTCGACTAACGAGAGGGTATCTTAATGAAACCGACATTAATAGGTGGATTGGTGTGGAGGACCACATTCTTGGTCACAGAAAGCCTTTAGACTATTACTTGTAGGGCCATCTTAAAAGCTTAGTCAAGTGGTAGTAGTCAGGAGCTTAGGCAGATAATTATTGATAAATGTCAGCAAGTGAGGAATAACCCGGAGAATTTTAAGAATAGCCACTCAATTTATTCTTGGGCGTGTAGGACAGTGTATTAATGAAGGGGGACATTTTGAACAACATATAACGTATGTTATTTTTCTTTTGTTGTCATTTTGTTATTGTTATTTAAGACAATCAAATCCAGTAAAAGTTTAAAGTCTGTGTATATGTAAATACTTATTTCTAAACTTTAACTCGGTACCAGTGAGAATTGACCACAAGTATATTATAACTTTTTTACTCAGCATGACCTCAGGAACTTGTTTCTTAAGTTTGTCCAGTACGTCATGCAACACCCTGTATATCATTATTAACAAAAGAGAACCGACACTTACTTGACAGCAGATGGAATTTGAAACTGAAACTGTTATCGCAACGTGTACGTAAATAAACTTACCCTGTTCAGTTTTAAAAATATACAGGGGGACGCGGTAATGTACCCATATTTTAGTTCAGGGTTGCATTTGCCCAACTGTTCAACGGTAGCGACGCACACCTTATCTGGTCCCAAAGTCTGGTTAAAATCACAGTTAACGTAATTATCTCCAGTCTGACTTGATTTGTATGCTGAAAGAAAAAAATATTTCCACAACTCCACATTTATATTTTTATTACGCCGTGACTAGAGTTGTCACTAGGGTGCGTAAATAAATAGGCGTGGTAAAGGGATTTACGGTGTTTGCGCGTAGACCGAGGATTGTGTTGCGTTTACTGTTTTTCAAACGTTGATACGGATTGCTACATCTAATGATGTTTATAAAAGTCTTGTTCGAACTGTAACCCTTCAAATTTAATAAAGGGTGTTCCAAAATTCACGCAAGAAGTAATTTTGATAGAAAACACAGGTTTTTAATTAAAATCGTAAAATTTGTATTGATTCTTAAAGTTATGCATGGAATAGCATATCGAAAAATGACCGCCTTGGCACATACGCACTCTTTTGTTGACATTTTCTGAAATATTTGAAATGACCGCTTTGCATAAATGCGACTGAATTTCGTTAATATAGCACTCAATTTCCTCCTTCAAGGCGTGGTTGGTAGTGGGCTTGTTGGCATTAATTTCAAAAAAAAAACAAAGAAAAAAATTAACGGCGTTAAATCGCATGACCTCTGCGGCCAATTCTGATCCCCAAAAGGGGAAATTACACTACCAGGAAATGACACTTACATCAAACAGTAACACGTTGTGGATACATTTGTTTCTCAACAATCACTCGTGGATTTCTTGAACCTCAAATGCGACAATTTTGTCGATTAATGAACCCATCAAGATGAAAATGAGGCTCATCGCTGAAGATGACCTTGTGTGAAAAATCAGCATCTATTTTTTTTTCATAATCCATTCAACGAACTCTTCGCTCTGCATGATCAGTAGACTTCAGTTCTTGAGTCAATTGAACTTGCATGAAGATGCAAATCTTTCATGAGAATACGCTGTAGAAAATTTCTTGAAATGTGCAATTGATCTAGTCTCCCTATATTTTTCAATTAATCTCTTCATAGCTGATGAAGTTAAATCACTCTTCCGACCATATTTCGTATGAAAATTGCGAATTGCAGCTGCCAAACCTTCATTTTTTCTTTTTTTTTGGAAAATGTTATATATTATTTACCAACCCAAAGAGAACGCACCGCGGAGCGGTGCCCTTGTTGCGCGCTGCTCGGTCCGAGGGCCGAGGGGCCGAGAGAAAGGTCTAGTCCGCGTCAGCGGACTTGCCTACCTTTCTAGTTATTTTTAACATATGAAAATGCATTGTTTTTTCTTGTAACGCTCCATTTTCAATACCCTGAACTGACTTTTCATCTTGCGTGAATTTTGGGATAGTATGAACAGTATAAAATGTCTTGTTTCTGAAACGATTTTGATCTGAAGTTCCCATTACCTTAAAAGGCATATTGAAACCCCAATGTATAAAAAAATTGACTTCTATAACTGTCATATTGGAGGTTTTCATTATGACTTACTATTTATATTCAGTATGAAATATTCCGATGTATGTGGCCAACAATTTCGATTATGTAGATGTGTGCTTTGAACTTTCCAATTAGTTTTTTTTATTTAGTTAGTCTTTACTGCCTGTACCTTAATTTGATTTTTTTGTGATTTATTTTTTCGTATATGTGTTTTTCAATCTGTGTATACTACTCAAGATTTACATGTTGTACTTCTGTTTTGGTTTACATGTTCATTGTTAATAACCTATCTGGTTTATCTTTACTTTTTACTGTTTATTTTATTTTTTAATTCCTGTTTCATTTCTAAAATATGTGCAAATTGTTGGCTTTTTTAATTTTTGTTGGTGTTATTCTTCGATTTGTTTTTTATTAATTTAATTTTCTGATCTTTTTCAAATTAAATATTTTTTTATTTTTGATTCATTTTTTCCTGTATTTAAATTTGTGTCAATAAGCAGATTAACTATTTATCTACATTTTTAATTTTTTGATAACAATAACGACGTAGCAATATTTTCTTACTCTAGATAATGTAACTATAAATTAAACCAGAGATAGAAAAAATTATAAATTAAGGCACGTTTTAGGGTACATTATAATGCTTTTTAAAATAAAATATGTGGCACTTTTCATTCACAAACGTGCAGGGAGGCCGTTGCAGAAGAAATTTTAATGGAACAGACACAGGTATGCTAAAGTCCGTCTCTCACTCATAACAAAATGAGGCGCTGATATTATTCTAAATATTTAAAATAGTTAATTTATTTTTAAATTTCTTAGCAACGCCACTGATTACGCACGCAAGTGTCAAACTCTAGACTTTGCAAAGTATATTATTAACAAAAGAAAAACATACTCACGCTCTAAAAATTTGTCCACCAGTTTCACCCATTTCTCACTGGTGGTGCGATTCGTAAGGTTGTACCAAATTAGAGAACCCTCTTCCGTTTCAGCTGAAATGGGACGAAATCCGAGACCAGGATTCGTACCGATCAAACTCTTATGTAATGTCCATCTTGGTTCTTTGTCGTCCAATGAGACGAATAGGGCCTGCATGCATATTGCGAACAAAGCCGCCAAAACTATGTAGAATATTGTATAAAATAATAGTAGTTGTCCTGCAATGAGAAAAAATACATCTATGTAGCTACACATAACTTTCTTGTTCAGTAAGGTACGTCGTGAGACGTGAATAATATTTTGATAAATATTCCGGGAGTACCTTGTATACATCTAGACAGACATTCTAATATACATGTCGGACAAGTGTTTGACTTATGACCAACCATTACCAGACGAATAACAACCAACTGTCAATATTTTAGAACAGCGTCAAGATGAACTTTTTTATAAAGGGTTGCTAATAGGTATGTATGTCGGCATCACCCTTGTAACCGCTTATGAAAGTAGCCACTCGAAAAACTGTCACCGTCGATGGAATGTCGAGGGCTTGTTTTTGTTTATGTTACAGAAATATTAGAGTACTAAATTGTTATCTCTTCAGGGTTAAGTTTCAGCCTGTGTGTGAAAGACCATCATTATCTAACTTTTGTAAACCCTTCCTTATATGGTCATGTTTGGTAAAAAGTAAACTGATAGGGTAGATGAATGCACTGGGTAACGCCCCCGTTATTATTTTTATTATTTTTATTTTTATTTTTATTTTTATTTTTATTTTTATTTTTATTTTTATTTTTATTTTTATTTTTATTTTTATTTTTATTTTTATTTTTATTTTTATTTTTATTTTTATTTTTATTTTTATTTTTATTTTTATTTTTATTTTTATTTTTATTTTTATTTTTATTTTTATTTTTATTTTTATTTTTATTTTTATTTTTATTTTTATTTTTATTTTTATTTTTATTTTTATTTTTATTTTTATTTTTATTTTTATTTTTATTTTTATTTTTATTTTTATTTTTATTTTTATTTTTATTTTTATTTTTATTTTTATTTTTATTTTTATTTTTATTTTTATTTTTATTTTTATTTTTATTTTTATTTTTATTTTTATTTTTATTTTTATTTTTATTTTTATTTTTATTTTTATTTTTATTTTTATTTTTATTTTTATTTTTATTTTTATTTTTATTTTTATTTTTATTTTTATTTTTATTTTTATTTTTATTTTTATTTTTATTTTTATTTTTATTTTTATTTTTATTTTTATTTTTATTTTTATTTTTATTTTTATTTTTATTTTTATTTTTATTTTTATTTTTATTTTTATTTTTATTTTTATTTTTATTTTTATTTTTATTTTTATTTTTATTTTTATTTTTATTTTTATTTTTATTTTTATTTTTATTTTTATTTTTATTTTTATTTTTATTTTTATTTTTATTTTTATTTTTATTTTTATTTTTATTTTTATTTTTATTTTTATTTTTATTTTTATTTTTATTTTTATTTTTATTTTTATTTTTATTTTTATTTTTATTTTTATTTTTATTTTTATTTTTATTTTTATTTTTATTTTTATTTTTATTTTTATTTTTATTTTTATTTTTATTTTTATTTTTATTTTTATTTTTATTTTTATTTTTATTTTTATTTTTATTTTTATTTTTATTTTTATTTTTATTTTTATTTTTATTTTTATTTTTATTTTTATTTTTATTTTTATTTTTATTTTTATTTTTATTTTTATTTTTATTTTTATTTTTATTTTTATTTTTATTTTTATTTTTATTTTTATTTTTATTTTTATTTTTATTTTTATTTTTATTTTTATTTTTATTTTTATTTTTATTTTTATTTTTATTTTTATTTTTATTTTTATTTTTNAGTTGAGGTTGATTTTGATCAACTCGAAATTCTCTTATGGGCCTCGTTGGGAAAGGACATTTCTGTTTAAATGTCCTTTTAAAAAACTCTGACCAGTTCCTAAACTTTGATTGGTCGCAATGTTCTACTACGAAAGGAGATGGTTTTTGTCTTACAATTCGAAGGTGTTCCGTCCAATCCTTTGGCGTCTCTGCTACTAGACGTTGATTAACTAAAGCCATATTTCGATCACATTCCATGTACGAATGCCCACGAATTGGAAAAATAACTGTGATACTTGCTAATCTCTTTTGTTCATGAACCATGTAATAAAGAAGCCGGTGAAATTTTTATTTTGCCCGTCACAAGAATCGCAGAATATTGTGAGATGTTCGACATTTTCATCTAAATGAGAGTTGACAAAATCATAGAGCATTGAACTCACTTCGTCGGATCCTTTTTTTGCTGTGGTCTCATCGTATACGAAAAATATAGAATCAGAACTAGAAAGGACGTGTATGTTGAAAATAAAGTAGGACAGTTGTTTTTTGTAATATACATCATTTGTACTAATGTTTGGCGTCTTTTAATTTTTTTGAAAATCTATGCAAATACTTTCACAAGTTTTTTGGCTTTCTTTACGAGCCTCTCGTTTTTTCTTGTAAATGAACATCTTCTTCTTGCATGGACATTCATCATTATTACTCTGTATGCTTAAACTAAATTCCATAATATTTCGTTACTCTCAGCGTTTTTGTTCTGACTATACCCTACGGTTGATAGTAATGTGCTCTACCTAACAGATGGCGGTGATATGTCAGTTTTGATAATTATGTGACATTCATCGTTATAGCCTGTACCCTTCAAATGCTTTAGGTTTTTTTTAAATCTACTACAATAAATAAAAATTAAATATACCTACAGGTACATTCAAAAATACGTGACGAAACAAAATTGCTTTTTTTAAGTGAAACACCCTGCATATTATTCCATATTTCAATTCTTCTCGAAATTCTGAACAAAATTCATATAGCACACCATATACTTCACGGTTTTCGAGATATCGAACTTCGAAAATAATTTTTTACTACTCTCAAATTTGTAAAAGAAAAAGGGCCCCAAATTATGGATATTAATATTGAAAAGAACACAGGTGGAGGATATTAATATGATTTAATTAGTTTTTAATTATTATTAGTTTTTTACAAAAATAAAAAAGCATGAAACGAAAAAAATTATTTTTTAATAAATGTCCTGATTATTTTAAATTTTATGAAAACAATAATTATCCCATAATAAAAAAGAGAGCAAACAAGTTTTAATAAACAACAAATATTTTCTTTGGAATTCTGTTCTATAAGGTGCTCAGTGTTCACCATTTACCTCTTGACAGTAATGAATTCGCTGAACAAAATTTTATAATGAATCTAAAAGAGTGTTGGGAGGAATAGTGGAAATTTCATGACATCCTTTCCTGCAACTCTTCTTTTGCGGCCTATTTTTGTAGACTACATTTCTTATGTGACTCCACAAGAAAAAGGGAAACTTAGCTGGCCATTCAATTGCCCCTCTGACCCAATCCATTTATCAGGAAAAGTTTCATCTAGATATGCCCGTACCAATCGTCCAAAATGTGGGGAGCCCCATCGTTTTGAAACCATATTTGTTCCGCCGGTAAATTGGGATTGTTATTGTTCGAGAATAATCGTCAAACCTCNAGAGAAACTCCAAAAATAAGAACAACTTGTTTATGTACATACAAATACAATGCTGCGAATCAATAACAAATGAAGGGTACAGGCTAATAACGATGAATGTCACAAAAACTAAATACTGAGATATTTACAGTTTTATCTTCAAAACGTTTTTGGTCATAAACTACAAACAATTTTTTCAAATGTTTTTATATATAAACTTTATTTCCTATTACAAATATTTTACAAAAATAATTGTATTATTTTAACATATTTACGAAAAAAAAAACTTCAAAATACTAATAAGTGGCAAAAAAACTGGGAAAAAATGATGAATGTCCTTAAACACTGATCTATTATTCGCAAACGTCTGAATATTCATTATCGCTACTATTATTTTCTTGAATGCGTGAAAGTTGCTCATAATATTTATTTGCTTCTGGAGCCACACAAAATCTTTTCAGTTCCTGCAGGTTTTGAAATTTTAAAGCTGACAGCGGTAGTCGGCTATGATACAGTCTATCTTGAAACTCAAATTCACCAGTTGAAAAATTTATTGCTTTGTTTTGTTTCTTGCGCGGAAGGGTTACCACGGTAGAGTTCCATGTACCATTGTAAGTTTCTCTATAAAACATAAGTTGAGGTAGATTTTGATCAACTCGAAATTCTCTTATAGGCCTAGTTGGGAAAGGACATTTCTGTTTAAATGTCCTTTTAAAAAACTCTGACCAGTTCCTAAACTTTGATTGGTCGCAATGTTCTACTACGAAAGGAGATGGTTTTTGTCTTACAATTCGAAGGTGTTCCGTCCAATCCTTTAGCATTTCTGCTACTAGACGTTGATTAAGTAAGGCCATATTTCGATTACATTCCATGTACGAATGCCCACGAATTGGAAAAATAACTGTGATACTTGCTAATCTCTTTTGTTCATGAACCATGTAATAAAGAAGCCGGTGAAATTTTTATTTTGCCCGTCACAAGAATCGCAGAATATTGTGAGATGTTCGACATTTTCATCTAAATGAGAGTTGACAAAATCATAGAGCATTGAACTCACTTCGTCGGATCCTTTTTTTGCTGTGGTCTCATCGTATACGAAAAATATAGAATCAGAACTAGAAAGGACGTGTATGTTGAAAATAAAGTAGGACAGTTGTTTTTTGTAATATACATCATTTGTACTAATGTTTGGCGTCTTTTAATTTTTTTGAAAATCTATGCAAATACTTTCACAAGTTTTTTGGCTTTCTTTACGAGCCTCTCGTTTTTTCTTGTAAATGAACATCTTCTTCTTGCATGGACATTCATCATTATTACTCTGTATGCTTAAACTAAATTCCATAATATTTCGTTACTCTCAGCGTTTTTGTTCTGACTATACCCTACGGTTGATAGTAATGTGCTCTACCTAACAGATGGCGGTGATATGTCAGTTTTGATAATTATGTGACATTCATCGTTATAGCCTGTACCCTTCAAATGCTTTAGGTTTTTTTTAAATCTACTACAATAAATAAAAATTAAATATACCTACAGGTACATTCAAAAATACGTGACGAAACAAAATTGCTTTTTTTAAGTGAAACACCCTGCATATTATTCCATATTTCAATTCTTCTCGAAATTCTGAACAAAATTCATATAGCACACCA